CCACATCTTTTTTTTTTTTTTAAATCTGTATGGTGTGTGTGTGTGTGTTTTATGTAGTCGTCACCATTCTGTTGCTTAAATTTTAATTTTGGCAATATATTCTGTGATGCTCTGTCCTGTCCTCTTTATTTATTTAGTTGAATATTGATGCATTATAATTTAGGTTTTCTCATTAAAGGACCTATTAGGTTCTTCCAGGTTTTGCTTTATAAATAATGCTATAGTGACCAACTTGGCACATTTCCCTCCCTCCCACCCCTGCCCCCCTATTTGAATTATGGCATTTCCTTAGGATTCCCAAGGGTGTGATTATTGAGTCAGGGATCTTGAAATTGAGAGTCTCTTCTCCAGATTACCCTCAATAGTAACAGCAACAAACACTTGTTGAATGGTTATTATATGCATGTGTAGCTTATACTGACATTCCCTTATTATTGGGCATAAGGGTTATCGCCAGCTTTGCTGTTACAAAACATGTAGAAACTTTTACTGGCTAGCGTGGGACTCTGGGAAAGACCCGGGAGCTCTAAGAACCTGGCTTGCTTTAGCAGAGAGTTTTTCTTCGGGTAGAGCCCGATCTTTCTGGCATTCAGATCTCCTTCGCTGGGATTCCTTGTAGGCTAGATGGGCTGCCAAATTCCTCTGCCTCGGGATCTAGATGGGAGGAAAAGATGTCCCCCCTTGGAAACAGGCGGCAGAGGGTAGGGAGGAGAGGTGGATGCCACTTGTAAGGTGACGTGTTTAACAGGTGCGAGAGAGATCTGCTTGTTCCACTTCTTAATTGCATTTCTTCTGCACAGGGATTTCAAGGATTTGGATTTGGAGATGGTGGCTTTCAGATGTCTTTTGGAATTGGGGCATTTCCCTTTGGGATATTTGCCACAGCATTTAACATAAATGATGGGCGGCCTCCTCCAGGTAAGACCATGTTCCCTTGGTAATCCTGCTTGAAGGCTCTCTGGAATCCAGCAGTATATAGGTGATAGATAATTGTTACTATAATCAGCCTTCAAAATGTGCTAAACTCTTTCCAGGTTACTGGTAGTCGTGCTAACGATAATACATACTTAGCAAGTATCAGGCATGTTCAAAGTGCTTTCCGTTAAAAATTCAGGATCCCCATGAGAACCTTTGGGACAGATGTGCAATTAGCTCCATTTTACAAATCAGAAAATACTTAATAATGTTTCCCAAGATGTACCCCGTGCCCACAAAATGAAAAGGTATATACCACACCCAGCTGAAGAAAAGCCTAGTTCTGCACATGTACCCCGTCCTCACTGGGACCTTTGGGGGCTGGAAAGGGCAGTGTGTGACCCCAAGGAGTCAGGGCCTCTCTGTTCTCTGGCATCTCTGTCCAGTTTCCTCCAGGACACACATGGGGCTAGTCCCAAACCCCGACCCTTTGGGAACTTGCCTATGTCTGCCACCTGCTGCTGCTTTTCTGCCTCCAGTCAGCTTGAGAATGCCAGCTGCAGTCTGTATAGGGCAGGGTGACGAGGTGGGTGCTCTGTACTCTGTCACAACATGACACCCAGGCCAGGATCCTTACCATGGAACCTGCAGAACCGCCAAGGTCAGCTGAGCTCTGCTGCAGTCCTAGGAGCCTTATGTGTGCTGGGCACAGTAGGGACCAGTGCGTACTTCCTGGCCAGGAGCTTATGCTCTAGGGACAGTAACCCACTCCTGGGCCATCCCAGGTGTCCCCTGGCCTCACCCTGTGCCTAGCAGGCGATCACTGAGTCTTTGTTGACTGCCTGCCTGCATGAATCCGTCAGAGCACCTCATGGGAGAAGAGTACAGCACCAAGAGGTCATGAGGAAGGAGGCCCCAAAGGGCAGGGCCCCGTGAAGGCAGCAGGAACCTGCCTGGTAGCTCGCTTCCTTCTAACCTTAGGTTCATGATTATTTTACTGGGATAAATTCTTAGAAGTAGAATTACTGGCTCAAAAATTTTGTGCACTTAAATCAAGCATTAGCAAAATATTTACTCATACTTCCAGAATCGCACAAGTATATTTTTATTTCCACATCTTTTTAAAAAATACATATTTTTATTGATTTTAGAGAGGATGGGAGACGGAGAGAGATAGAAACATCAATGATGAGAGAGAACCATTGATCCGCTGCCTCCTGCGTGCCCCCTACTGGGGATTGCACCTGCAACCCGGGCATGTGCCCTGACCAGAATTGAACCCAGGACCCTCAGTCCGCACGCCAACACTCTATCCACTGAGTCAAACCAACTAGGACTATCACAGCTTTTTTATACACTTATCTACTGATGGGCACTTGAGCTGTTTCCAGATACTAGCTATTGCAAATTGTGCTGCTATGAACATAGGGGTGCATGCATTCTGATTGGTGTTTCAGGTTTTTTAGTATGTATTCCTAGAAGTGGGATCACTGGGTCAAATGTCAATTCCATATTTAATTTTTGAGTTAAACCATACTATTTTCCATAATGGCTGCACCAGTCTGCATTCCCACCAGCAGTGTGCTAGGGTTCTCTTTTCTCCATATCCTTGCCAGCACTTGTCATTTGTTGATTTGTTGACGATAGCC